AGCTGTCAGGGTGACGACATCCTGACCAGGATAGAGCAGAATATTAATCTGGTGTCAGGCTGTCAGCCTGAACCAGTTTAGAACTCTGTGAAGAGGTGCTGTGTTTCTGAGTCCAGCAGAGAATGTTCTAGAGGCCTGGTAACACTGTGTGCTTTGGGGTGAGCAGGTGGCTGGGGTGGGTAGAGTGGAGTCGCCTCCTGTGTTGGTTGGTAGAGATCTTCTTTTTTCTGCTCTAATTATATGGGGTCATAGTTCTTCATCTTTTAGATTTTGGGTAACACAGAAATCTTATGCCTGCTTACAGATGTTCTCTTCCCCTTTTAAAAATATTTTGAAAATTGCATAAATTTGTTCATATCAAAAAACTTAGTACAGGATTACATAGAGGACATTTTTCTCTCTTGCCTTTTCTTTTCCAATTCCATGCCCTAGAGGTAGGTAGTGTTTACAGTTTGCATAGCTCCAATACTTTGGCCAGCTGATGCGAAGAGCTGACTCACTGGAAAAGACCCTGATGCTGGGAAAGATTGAGGACAGGAGGAGAAGGGGGCCACAGAGGGTGAGATGGTTGGATGGCATCACTGACTCAATGGACATGAGTTTGAGCAAGCTCTGAGAGATAGTGAAGGACAGGGAAGCCTGGCCGGTGCAGTCTATGGGGCTGCAAATTTTCAGACATGACTTAGCAACTGAACAACAGCAACAATATATCTTTATAGACTTCTTTATGTCCATTTGTTAAAAAAAAAACAGGTATGCAGCGTATTTTATTTTTTTGAGAAGAATTTATAATTAGCTTTTTTTTGGCCTTTTAGTGACTTGGTTATTTCATTTAGCATAATGTCCTCAAGTTCATTCATGTTTTAGCATATTGCAGATTTTCCTTCCTAGAGCATATTTGAAAAATTGGATCCTATTTTATATATAATCCTGCCCTATGATTTTTTTTTTTCCTCTTTAAGTTTGTGGATGTCTTTCAGCAAACGCCTCTTCTTCTTTTTAATGGCTACATGCAGATTTTGATGTGCTTATCTGAAGGGTGGGGACCCTGATTATAACCCCAATCTCAACAACCCCCCTGAAGCAAAGGAACCTCCAACTCAACCCTGATCATCCACCTTTATTTCACTCCTTTCATTGAGAATCACAGTTTACTCCTTGTTCTTCACATCCTCCCTAGCCAAGAAAACTGTTGGGCATTTTGGTGATTGAATATACATGTGCCTTAGTTTCTCCACATATTTTCTTTTTCTTTGCCCTTCCTCAAGATTCTGGTACCTCTTGAGGAGGTGAGCTGTGTGTGGGTTGCACCCCTCTGGTTGATACTCATTAGTGATGAGATCCTTGGTGTCTCCAGTTTCAGATTTCACCATGATGTAATTACTCCTTTTTTTTTTTTTATATATATTTATATTTAATCACTATTAATATTTCAATCCCAGTTGTGTTTTTTTTTTTTTTAAATTTATTTATTTATTTATTTATTTATTTTTTTATCACAACCATAGTGTATCTTTTTTTTTTTTTTTTTACATGTATTCCCCATCCCGGGCCCCCCTCCCACCTCCCTCTCCACCCAATCCCTCTGGGTCTTCCCAGTGCACCAGGCCCGAGCACTTGTCTCATGCACCCAACCTGGGCTGGTGAACTGTTTCACCCTAGATAATATACGTGTTTCAATGCTGTTCTCTTGAAACATCCCACCCTCGCCTTCTCCCAGAGTCCACAAGTCTGTGCTATACATAGGAGTCTCTTTTTCTGTTTTGCACATAGGGTTATTGTTACCATCTTTCTAAATTCCATATATATGTGTTAGTATACTGTAATGGTCTTTATCTTTCAGGCTTACTTCGCTCTGTATAATGGGCTCCAGTTTCATCCATCTCATTAGAACTGATTCAAATGAATTCTTTTTAATGGCTGAGTAATATTCCATGGTGTATATGTACCACAGCTTCCTCATCCATTCATCTGCTGATGGGCATCTAGGTTGCTTCCATGTCCTGGCTATTATAAACAGTGCTGCGATGAACATTGGGGTACACGTGTCTCTTTCAGATCTGGTTTCCTCGGTGTGTATGCCCAGAAGTGGGATTGCTGGGTCATATGGCAGTTCTATTTCCAGCTTTTTAAGAAATCTCCACACTGTTTTCCATAGTGGCTGTACTAATTTGCATTCCCACCAACAGTGTAAGAGGGTTCCCTTTTCTCCACACCCTCTCCAGCATTTATTGCTTGTAGACTTTTGGATAGCAGCCATCCTGACTGGTGTGTAATGGTACCTCATTGTGGTTTTGATTTGCATTTCTCTGATAATGAGTGATGTTGAGCATCTTTTCATGTGTTTGTTAGCCATCTGTATGTCTTCCTTGGAGAAATGTCTGTTCAGTTCTTTGGCCCATTTTTTGATTGGGTCATTTATTTTTCTGGAGTTGAGCTGGAGGAGTTGCTTGTATATTTTTGAGATTAATCCTTTGTCTGTTGCTTCGTTTGCTATTATTTTCTCCCAATCTGAGGGCAGTCTTTTCACCTTGCTTATAGTTTCCTTTGTTGTGCAAAAGCTTTTAAGTTTCATTAGGTCCCATTTGTTTATTTTTGCTTTTATTTCTAAAATTCTGGGATGTGGGTCATAGAGGATCCTGCTGTGATTTATGTCGGAGAGTGTTTTGCCTATGTTCTCCTCTAGGAGTTTTATAGTTTCTGGTCTTACATTTAGATCTTTAATCCATCTTGAGTTTATTTTTGTGTATGGTGTTAGAAAGTGTTCTAGTTTCATTCTTTTACAGGTGGTTGACCAGTTTTCCCAGCACCACTTGTTAAAGAGGTTGTCTTTTTTCCATTGTATATCCTTGCCTCCTTTGTCAAAGATAAGGTGACCATAGGTTCGTGGATTTATCTCTGGGCTTTCTATTCTGTTCCATTGATCTATATTTCTGTCTTTGTGCCAGTACCATACTGTCTTGATGACTGTGGCTTTGTAGTATAGTCTGAAGTCAGGCAGATTGATTCCTCCAGTTCCATTCTTATTTCTCAGGATTACTTTGGCTATTCGAGGTTTTTTGTATTTCCATACAAATTGTGAAATTATTCGTTCTAGTTCTGTGAAAAATATCGTTGGTAGTTTGATAGGGGTAATTACTCCTTGACCACGTGAACTTGGAGTGTTCACTTGTGGGGTGGTGAGTGGGGTTGGAGGGTGGAAATCTGTTTGAGAAAACCTTCAGTGCTAATCTTTGGTGCTCCTTTGTTTTTTTTTTTTTTTTTTTCTCTTTCTTTTTCTAACAGGACCAGTATGTTTTCCTCAATCAGTGTGTTTTGGATATTATCAGATCCCAGAAAGACTCAAAAGTGGATCTTATCTACCAGAACACAACTGCAATGACAATCTATGAGAACCTCGCACCCATGACCACGTTTGGAAAGACAAATGGTTACATTGCCTAATTCCAAAGGAAAACCTTTCTGGAGTTAACCAGACCGTCACACCCACAGCAAAGGAAAATGCCCCGATGTTGACATGTTTTTATATGTCTAATATCCTAATTCTTCGTTCTGTTTTGTTAGAACTAATTTGAGAGTGTGAAGCTGCACATGTTAAACATGACAAATGAGAGGCTGGGGCTATCAGGGGCTGTGGATGGGTGGTGAGCAAGTCAACTACATTCCTGATTACCAATGGGATGAGTTCACTTTTTTTTTTTTCCCCTCTTGAGAATTACAGAATACCAGGAAAAGTGAGATATGATTTTTTTTTCTTTTACATTCTTTTTTAAAAAGACTATTTTATATGATTCACACGCTAAAGCCAGGATTGTGTTGGGTTGAATATATTTTAAGTATCAGAGGTCTATTTTTACCTACTGTATCTTGGAATCTAGCTGATGGAAAATACATAATTGTGGATGATTATCACATAGGGAGGGGTATGTGGTACCTCTTCTGCCTGTTTTCTATTTGAACATGTGCCTTTTCTGAATTATGCTTCCACAGGCAAAACTCAGTAGATATTTCTATTTTTGTACTGAATCTCATAATTGGACTATGTGGAGTATTTAAACAGTAGTTTAGTACCGGAGGTTCAGCCTTCTCAGTAACATTCCTGTTCTCATTTGATTAGAGAAGGTCTTGCCTCCACCCCGCCTTTCCCCATCTCCTGTTTTGTGCTCTATTCTTTCGTTCCTTTTCCCCTCCTATTTTTCCCCAAAGACATTTCTGCTGGCCACATTTTCTGCCCACTGGTTGAGCAAGAGTGGAAACTAAATTATCACCTTGAAAATTTTAGGGGTGGGAGTCGGGGGAAGCAGAGGAACCCTTCAGTGACACAATAATCTTTTATTGTCCCTGTTTTATCTTTTTTTCTCATTTCTGTATTTGGTAAGAAGGATTATTTAAAGGTGCAATATGTGACTTAGTGATTCATGATGCTCTAGGTTTTTAGTAACGTTTTACTCAGGTTGGCATTTTATGTGTCTCTGTGTGTCCGTGTATGTGTGTGTGTGTGCGTGTTTCTAAAAGTGTGGCAATCTGTGAACACTTCTGTGTGGAAACGGTGTCAGATGAATCCCTTCTTAAAGTCTACTGGCTTTAGTCTGTATCTGCAGTGACACATATCCGTATCTACTGTATATATATATACTAAACTCTTAAAACAGTCATTCCTTGGAATTGAGGTGTACAAAGTTTGAATTTGTATCAAAGATGTAATTATTATTTTTAAAACCTCTTTTTCACTATACTGCTGCTGTAATTACTTTTTTTTTTTTAAACTGTAGATTAATTTTTGTTGTTGTTGTTATTTGGCTTTCAGGTGTGTATCCACTGAGAGTTTCCGAATCTATGTGGATTTATTTTATTGGTACATCATCTGTAAACTTCTCAAGGCATTAACACGAAAGGATTTGTTTCTTTTTTTTTTGTTTTATTTTATATTGTGGCTCAGGTTCTATTTTGAAGATGTATTAAGTTTCTCCTCCAATAAGCAATGAAGTATTCAAGGTCTTATGAAGGATCGATCAAGTCCCTCAAGTCCTGTGGCTGTTTGCCACAGTGATAAATCCTGCTGTAAGTATAGGACGATGTGTCCTATTGGAAATGGGAGTGGGGTCATCTCTGAGTGCCCCGGTCACCCTGGGCCTGTGGGAGCCTGTCTCCTGACCCTGCCTGCGCCCCGGCTCGCCGGCGGTTTGAGCACTGATGGGACATTGCGGCGTTTTCGGGTCACGGAGGGGGAACCACAGTGTATGGAGAATGCTTGGTTCAGTGCCGGGGTCGAGGGCCATATGTCTTTTGTCTCCCTTTCCCTTTGAGGTACTGCAAGGAATAGAGGAGAGGTGATGATGGTGTTGTGTTTTGGGAGAACCTTACTTCCCAAACGGAAATTGCACTTTTGGCTAAGTCCTTTGCTCTCTCTGTGGTGGAAAGCAGTTCATTCCGTCAGGCCCTTGGAGGAGCGGGCTGGCCAGGCCGGGCCTGGTCCTCTTTGGTCCTGTATCAGGGAAGCCCTGCCATCCTGGGCTGCTGAGTGAAGCTGGATTTGGGCGAAGGCTTCCAAGTCTTTCACGCGGGTCTGCCCCTCGCGCGCCTATCTTGGAGAGTTCCCTAACTTCTTCAGGGGTCCCACCCCTTCCCACGCCAGTTTGCCAGGAAACCATGCTGATGGGTGCCGAGGTATCGTCAGGTCCCACGTAGGTGTACACCCTGCCCGCATCACTGCTGCTGCCCTGGAGAAGTCGGGGGAAGGACTTGACTCCAGAAATTCCTTTAAAAGATGAAAGCAACAATAATTAGAAACATATGGGTGTAAAAAAATGCAAAGATCAGAAACCCTCCTCCCTTCCGCCTGGGATGAGCTTGGGAAATGGGCTGCAGCCCGGTCAGCCACACTCAGACATCACCCCCGGTCCTGGGAGGAAGGCTTGCGGTGGCCAGGTCTGGCTTCTAAATGGGCAGGTCACACGAAGGTCATTCACGATGCTGCTCCGCATCCTGAAGAGCCCTGGCGATGGGCCAGGGGGCGGGGGGTGGTGAGGGTATTTATAGCACAGTGATTGAAAAGGGAAGATTAACGTGTAAATATATAGAAGACAGGCTGGCTGAGGGCTGGTCACAGAAGAGAGAAAGCGCTTTTGAGCTCCTGCCCCAAACCATCCCAGGAGTGATGAGCTAAAATTGGAGTCCAGTGAAGCCATGGGGATGGCATGATCGCCCCTGCTTAGTATTTGACAATTGCAGAAGTAAACCAACCAGCATGGGTTGAGCTGGTTTGAGGGATTTCAGCCTCTAAAATCTTCTTCAAAGAGCAAGGACGTTTTTGTCTGCAAAGTTAAATCTAGTGATGGTTGGCAGCAGTGTGAAGGGAGATGCAGGTCGGTCCCCTGTGGCCACGTGACAACCACCAGCTAGATTTTGGCATACTTGACCACTGGACGTGGGCATCACGAAGTCGGAGGCTCCTGGGGCTTTGGGCCGACTATGCAGCTGATTCACGTTTGCTTTTCAGCTGGGGGTGAAAAAGCCTGGTTTCCTTTTGAAATGCTTGATTGCACTTGCTGAGCTAAACAAGCCTTGGTGACTGATGTTGATTTGCCTCCAAAGTCCAAGTTCTGAATTTTCAGACTCTGTGTAGCAGTCGAGTATTCAATATACTGTAGCTTTTTATCCCCTCGGGGGCACCTATGAATAGGATGTGTTGATGTGGACTCTAAAACTGTAGTTTTCTTGTAACTATTTTGGAATGATGCATATTTCTAATGTTTGTTATACTTGTACAGAGTATTGCTGTTGGTTGCTTTTTTTCCCCCCTTTGGTTTGTTTTTTAAGGAAAAACATGTCCTGAAAAAAAATTTTTTTAAAAGACTTATAAATACCAAATATAAAAAAATGTCAACACATTATGCATCTGTTTGTTTGTCTTTCTGCCTCCTTACTTTACATCCATGTCATATCATTTATTGAGCAGTTTACTGGCCTGGGTTCAGCTGGGGGATCCTTAGCAAAAGCATGTTTCCCTTGGGATTTTTCCACATTGTTTTGGTTTGCTAGGGGCTGCTGTAACAAAGTACAGCACACTGAGGGGCTTAAACATTAAAAAAGGATCATCTCACAGTCCTGGAGGCTAGATGTCCGAGATGGAGGTGTCGGCAGGTTGGTTTCCTCTGAGACCACTCTCTTTGGTGGACGACTGTCTTCCCCCGTGTGTTCTAATCTCCTTTGTTTACAAGGACACCAGTCACTGTGGATCACAGCCCATGCTAATGACCTTATATGCCCTTAGTTACCTCTGGAAAGACTCTTCTCTCCAAATACAGTTGCATTGGGAGGCACTGGAGGTTAGGATTTTAGCATATAAACTTTGGGGGCACATAAGTCAGCCCAAAGAGCTTCCCTGGTGGCTCAGTGGTAAAGAATCCACCTGCAATGCAGGAGATACAGGTTTGATGCCTGGGTTGGGAAGATCCCCTGGAGGAGGAAGTGGCAACCCACTCCAGTATTCTTGCCTGGGAAACCCCATGGAGAGAGGAGTCTGGTGGGCTATAGTCCATGGGGTCACAAAAGAGTTGGACCATGACTCAGCAACTAAACGACAGCAGCAACAACAAAAGTCAGCCCAGAACACACATGGCGGGTGATGAAGTGGGGGCCTGGGGGGAGTGAGCGGGCCTCTAACGTGTGGGGGCACATGTTCTCAGAGGGGGGGTCCAGGGGTCTGCAGGTGGACAGACGCCCACTTGGAGGCAGCTAACACGCCTTAGCATGCCTCCAGATCTTTAGAGGCTTTCTGGTTGATGGATTTGGGGAATCTCAAAGTTTTCAGGGTGACGGTAGTAGTTTGGGGGGGTTTTTTCTTTCATCTCACTCCCTTATGCGTTGATGCAAACTCTTAAGTAGACTGAGATGATTTTAAGATATCTCTTGCTCTTTCCTGAAATAAGTCAATCCATTCAACAGTGATGTATTGAGTACCTACTGTCCACCAGCAACTATACCTTGGTGGCTAAGGGTTCAACTGTGAACAAAATAGAAATCTCTGCCCTCGTGGAAAATGAAAGTCACTCAGTTGTGTTCGGACTCTTTGAAACCCCATGGGTATACAGCTCGTGGAATTCTCCAGGCCAGAATACTGGAGTGGGTAGCCATTCCCTTCTCCAGGGGATCTTCCCAACCCAGGGATCAAACCCAAGTCCCCAGCACTGCAAGCAGATTCTTCAGCAGTGAAGTAAGAGGAGGTAGACAAACATGCAAATTAAATCCTTAGTATGTTAGAATCGAACAGATGATGAACATATGATGCAAAGGTATATCATGCCTGGATGCACCAGCTTATTTTCACTAAGGCGGTGCAGCCACAGTGTATCAAAGAGAAAGTGTTGCTATGTGCTCATCACTCAACCCCTGCTTCAAGCCCGTCAGGAAGACAAGGGTGAACACCGCACAAGTCCTACTCGGAAGAAGTGGACAGTCCAGAGGGCCAGGAGCATGAGGGATGCAAGTGCAAAATGAACCCAAAAAATACCAGAAGCAATTTAAAGAAGCAGGAGAGGAGCGTGAGAGTGGGGATGGCAGGTGAGCTGGATCTTGAGCAGGATTTTAGTAGGAGAATATAAGGGGGAAGGCAGAGGGTGAATGTGTCCTCTTGGAGGCTGGCGAGCACTTTGGGATGTGAGCTTGCAGGGAGGGTGAGGTGAGGTGAGGTGGTGGCTGATGACCCTGGCAGGGAAGAACCCTGGGACTGCAAGCCTGGTTGACAAAAACAGTCTCAGCTTTAAGATGCTGCACCAGTCGTGTGTGTGTGTGTGTGTGTGTGTGTGTGTGTGTGTACATGTATAAATAAGTAAACTTACTGAGACATTGGCTTCCCTGGTGGCTCAGATGGTAAAGAATCTGCCTGCAGTGTGGGACACCTGGGTTGGAACCCTGGGTCAAGAAGATCCCCTGGAGTAGGGAATGGCAACCCACTCCAGTATTCTTGCCTGGAGAATTCCATGGATGGAGGAGTCTGGCAGGCTTCAGTCCAGGTTGCAAAGGATTGGACACTACTGAACGACTAACACACACACACACACACACACAATTTTGTCTTCGCTATTTTCTCTGCTTGGAAACCGCATGGTGATCACAAAGGTGAGTGAACACAGTAGGATGGAAGGAAGGGACACACCGGACTCTTGGCAGGTTAGTGAGAGTAAACGGTGTACTTTCCCGCACAGAACAGACCACACTGTAGCACGTTCAGCCGGAGCCACATTTCCCTGACCTCCAGGTCCCACGAGGTCCTCAGTGCTCTTAGCTGTTGGCAGAGCAAGCAGGGATCCTAGCAGATCTTTCCTTTGTTTTGCTGATCGCACCCTCTCAATCTTTCTCTCTCCCCACTTCCCTTTCTCTATTTCTCATCCTCCTCGCCTGTGCCAGCCATCTGGAGACAACAGCTAAATGCTGGCCTGCTTGCCAAGTCAAAATAGCTACTGAGAATTCCAGCACATTCCTGAGTTGTTTATTTGAAATACTGGGTGAAATCAGGTCAGTTTTCCAGGCATGGATTCCTGTAGTATGTCCAGGTCTGCCTGAAGTCTGTTGCTGTAATTATTTTTCTGATTAGGCAGAAAGCACAGATCTGGAGCATATGACAATGTAATTGTTCCAGACGTGATTACTTGCCTCAGTGAGGATAGAAAATCTTTTGCTTTTAAAAAGATGCTTCCAGATGTATGGTGCTAAGAAGGACGTTGCGGCTCCAAAGTTCAGAGGCCTGGTCACAGAGTTCCCTTGCTACACGGCAGATCCTTGTTGGTTATCCATTTTCAGTATAGCGGTGTGTACTTGTCGGTGGAGGTTCCCAGCTGACTCAGCGGTAAGGGTCTGCCTGCCAGTTTATGAGACACAAGAGAAGTGGGTTTGATCCCTGGGTCGGGATGATGCCCTGGAGGAGGAAATGGCAACCCACTCCAGTACTCTTGTCTGGAAAATCCCATGGACAGAGGAGCCTGGTGTGCTACATATATACAGTCAATGGGGTTGCAAAGAGTCAGACATGACTGAGCATACACTCACACCCACCCACTCACACACGTCAACACCGAACTCCCTAACTGTCCCTCCGATGCTTACTCTCTGGTAGCCGTCAATTTGTTCTCTTAAAAAAAAAGTTGAGAAGCAGTAGGTGGCAGAGAGCTGAAGTTTGCCTGGGAAGAGTTTGGAGAGCAACGTCTGTGGCTTGTTGAGTCCACAGACTCGAGGGCCTGAGTGTACGCGGGCCCGGGTGGGCGTCATCTTGTTAAATCGAAGCAGTCTAGAGACTAAGTGTCTTCGG